GGCTGAAAGGCTCAGGCTTGATTTGCGGGAGGGGGGAAGGTGAGGGGGACAGAGGAGGAGGTGGTGAGGTGCAGGAGGAGATGGTGGAGGAGGGGGAAGGGAGAGGATGGGAGGCTTCTGCGGGGGTGGAGGCGGCGGCGGCGATAGAGGAAGGGGGAGGGGCTGTTGTAGGAGAAGAAGGGGAAGGGAGAGGATGGGAAGCTTCTGCCGCGGGGAAAGCGGCAGCGGTGGCGGCGGTAGAGGAAGGGGGAGGGGCTGTTGTAGGAGGAGAAGGGGAAGGGAGAGGATGGGAAGCTTCTGCCGCGGGGAAAGCGGCAGCGGTGGCGGCGGTAGAGGAAGGGGGAGAGGCTGTTGTAGAAGGAGAAGGGGAAGGGAGAGGATGGGAAGCTTCTGCCGCGGGGAAAGCGGCAGCGGTGGCGGCGGTAGAGGAAGGGGGAGAGGCTGTTGTAGAAGGAGAAGGGGAAGGGAGAGGATGGGAAGCTTCTGCCGCGGGGAAAGCGGCAGCGGTGGCGGCGGTAGAGGAAGGGGGGGGGGCTGTTGTAGGAGAAGAAGGGGAAGGGAGAGGACGGGAGGCTTCTGCCATGGGGAAAGAGGCGGCAGTGGCGGCGGAGGGTGGAGGGGTTGTAGGAGGGGGAGTGGCTGAAGGGGGAAGTCTGTATGGCGGAGGCTCGTGGGCCGGGTCAAAGGTAATTGAAGAGGGACTGGGAGTGTGTGGAGGGGAGCGAGACGGCTTGCAGGCTAGGAGAACTTGGGGCGGGGAGCAGGTGGTGCAGAGGCTGGGATTTTGAGCTAGGAGGCGAAAAGCTTCGATATAGGGAATCTCCTTCCATTTTTTCAGGCGCTGGCAGTAGTTAAAGAGATTGCGAGTGATGTTAGGATCAAGAGTTCCCCCTGCGGGCCATTGGTTGTTATTGTCTAGGGGGTATGTCGGCCAATCTTGGGAGCAATATTTACGGAGAAGTTTTGGTTTTATATCAGGTGTCAGGGAGAGGGTAGCCAGATGCTTAAGCAGGCATTCAAGACGTGAACTTTCAGGGAGGGATGAGGAGGCTCCCATGGCTAAAGGACAGAGAAGGAGACAAACAGGAAGACAAACGGAGATCCTCGGACTGGAAGCAGACTGCAAGGAGACAAAGGGCGTCCCCGATGATCCTTGGTGGTCTGCGGAAACGTATATGAGTCGGTATTTCTTAGGAAGTGTGGGTCATCACCCAGACTTCCCTAAGAAGGCAGAGTGCCGGAGTCACGAGGTACCTAGTACTAGGAGTTTTCGGCAGACAGAACAGATTTTGGCCGGAACAGAAGGAGGAGGGGGGAAAGAGGGAGTGTTCTCATCCACAAAGGGGTCACCTCGTTTATGGCTGTTGGAGAGGGGGCCCGAGGGTCTGCCGCAGCTGTGAAGGCCTGAGGCAGGGATTTATGGCTGTTGGAGGAGGGGCCTGAGGCGGGGAGAGTTCCCTCCTCGTCTCTGAGCGTCAGGGCCTTGCCAGATAATCATGGTCAATGGCACTGCGATAGCTCGGGGAAGAGTGGCCCACTCTGGGGGGAAAACTTACCTAAAGGCCAGAGAGGAGTGGTCAGTGTGATGAGCCAGCGCCGGAAAAAGAGGACGAGGACAAGCTGCTGCTGGTGTCGGGGGGAAGACGGGGCCCAGTTGGGGTGTCCCGTCCCCCGGGTTTCGGCACCAATGAAAGGAAAGGAGCGACACACAGCAGCAATTCACCAGAGAATTCCGCTTTATTAGGGAAAGGTGCTGGGTTATATAGGAAGGGGAATGGGGTGATTGTGGTTGTGGTGTTACTTCTACGGGGCTGTTGGCTGTTGGCTAGGTGCTGGGATTGGGAGGGGGGCGAGAGGTGATTGGGCTTCAGGTGGTGCCGGTGGGAACCGAGGCCCTCCCACCCCCAAGAGAAGCTGGAAGTTTGCCATCTTACTGGTGGGAGCCCTTCAGTATCAGCACTCCATTCCTTTTTATTGATGAATAGTATTTGTACTAATATCCCACAAATTTTATTTATCCAATCACCAGTCACTATTAACAATTTAATGTACCTTCTGCATTTGTTTGGTCTGCCTGGGGTTGCATCCCTCCTGGTCGAGTTCCCAGATAAATGATATTGGGCAAATCATGGTCTCTCCAAGCCTACCTGCTTCCTAATAGTAAAATGTGAGTAAGAATGGAATCTACCTCATAGAATGTCATGGTTCTGTTGGGGGTTGAGTTTGTTCTCCTCCCTTCTTGTCCCTGCCAACAAAGAACTGAACAGAAGAGAGACACAGTAGTGAAGCAGAGTCAATGTTTTATTTGAATACACTTGAAGGGAGGAGCTGGCCAGATTCAAGATAGACAAAGGCAGGTTTACTTGAATAAAGCAGAGGGGAAGGAAAAACAGAGGGCCGAAAGGGAAGTTTATTGAGCTCCTGCTCAGCGTTAGGCAACTCCTAAAGCCAGGGTCACCTGGCATCCAGTCTGCTTGAATTTGCACAGTGTGGGAACTGAGTCCCTGTCCCCCCTTACCCCAGGATTTGGGGGAGCCATAGAGCACTGGATGGAGTGAGATTATGTTCTGAGAACTTCCCAAAGTAAAGAAAGGAGATTTTCAGGCAGGCTACTAAAGAGCACAATCATACAGCTACAGTTCTGCCCGGGTCACCCCAAGCAATGGGAACCTGAAAACTCAAATCAGAGCTCTCAGCAGCCCCTCCCTACTTATCTAAAGTAGGACAGAGACTTGTGCTTAAATCTGGAAAATAGAATGAAGTAGCAAAGTAACAAGGACACCACGGGAAAAGTGCAGAGACAAAAGTAAATTGAGCAGTGAGAAGTTTAAGGCAAAAGGTGCACACTTGAAGAAAGGGGAGTGTGGGCAATCTCAGAGAAGAGGGACCTCTAAGGGTTTAGGGTCTGGGGTTTCATATGGCTTTTTGGGTAGGAGTCAGCATAAGGTATGATATATACGAGTGATTTATAACTCCTTTGAAGTTTTGTTCTAAGGATAGGGATACTTACGTGACTATGTTGTTCTAGATCTGGCATTCTTTGTCCATACAGGTTTATTTACATTTCCTAGGTCTGTCTCCTGCCCTGGTTACAGAGTTACTTGATTAAGGAGCAGGAAGAAGAGGAAAAAAACAGCATATAGGTTAAGTTAAAGAAAAAGATGGGCCCTTTTTTTTTTTGCAGGCTAAATAAATTTTACAATAGCATAATCTAATTGGTACAATGAAGAGACATGGGGGAATATCTGGACATTCCAAGTTCTTTGTCTTTGAAACTTCAACTGATTAATTCATTAACTCTGTGAGTCTTTTCTGGCTCTGGTTTTGTCTGGTTAACTCTCTGAGACACTTTCAGTGGGCTGTGGGTAAAATTGTAACATTTCCAGAATATCTCGCCTGGCTTTAGTATATCTGCATATCAATAGGTGTTCAGAGGTGGAAAGAAGTATGGCTTTAGTGCATTTGCATCTTTCCTCAGGGGTGGAGAAGTTGATCTCCATATGAATGGGTGATTACCTGGGCAACAGAGGGCTTATCTGCACCTGAGAGGTGAGGGAGTGGGCCAGTGGTGTGGCTGCTTGAGTAGAGAAGAAAGATGGCCTGGGACTGCAGTTTGTGAGCAATAAACGGGTTTTAAACTTTATTTCTCCCTTTGACTGATTTTGGTTTTTAGGGATATTTTGTCCCGGGATTTCCTTTCCCTGGATTTATATGGGCTTTACTACCCTTATTCTCTCTCCACCCCACTCATGTCTATTTTTTTTGCGTAACAGGTGTACTGTCACAATATTAATATTTGTTGAGCACTTACCTTTTGCCAGGCACTTTATAAGGATTACCTATCAAACCTCTGATTTACAGATGAGGAAACTGAAGTTAGGAGAGGTTAAGTAGTCTCCCAAAGTCAAACAGCCCCTTAAAAAGTGATGAGGTAAACAAAATCACAGGGTGTTTGATTGCAAGCCTGCACCATTAACTGTTATTACTATGGAATAACAACGTGTTTGGCAAGGACCTTGCAAAAGAATGAGTTTAGTAAATAATAACTATAAAAAAGCAGAAAAGAATTAGCAATTGGCTCATTACCTAAGGACAGCTGCCACTGCTAGTATTTTGGTACATTTCCTTCCTGTCTTGAAGAAATAGTTCAAACATACCAAAAAATCCAGAGGACAGTGGACATGGAGCTTTCACTTTTTTTTAAGACTTAAAATGTGGATTAGGTGACTCTACCTCCCTTACTCTTAAGTATTTTTCCCTATGCATTTTTTTCCTTTATATTATTAGAGTCACTTCATTTCCTGTCTTATCTTGAGCATTTCTCCAGCATAGAAAATATCCTGCATGACTTCTCATGGCGCTATATCCTATGGCTGAAACGTCATATGTCAATTCCCCATTGTTGAGCATTTAGGCTATCTCCCAGTAAAAACATCACTACAGATCCACCATCACTACAGATCCACCATTCTTCAAGCTTTACTGATAAATTCCCTTTGGATAAATTCCTAGTAAGGCTGGAGTCTAAAGACTGTGTTTGTTAAGGCTCTTTATGTTTTTTTGTTTTTGCCAGAAAGCTCTCAAAAAAGAATGAAAACGGGGGAGATTTTTTTCCTTCACCTTTTAAAACATTGTATTCAATTACAACCTAGACACAGCTAACTGAATTTTCAGGAACTGAACGCCCTTCGTACCCAGCCCCCAGATCATGAAATAGAGCATTTCCTGAAGCCCAGAACTACTTCACTTCTCGCCATCACCACTCTCCGAGGGGTGGGATTTTAACGCCGCAAAGGCCTATCAACCAGACTACGGCTTTGTAAACTACGCCTATTAATACTTTGTTATGACCCAGGCCACGAAAACATAAACTTAGCTCTTCCTGCAAACCCTTAACAGTGTGCAGCGCGGCTGGAGGAGGAAGGAGCACACGGGCCTGGGGACCAAAGGACGGGGCCGGCAGCTCGGAAGGTCCCCGCTGGTCCTCCAGCCTCCCGGCGAGCTGCGCGGTGATCCCAGCGTGCACCGCGGCGCGGAACCGGCGCCGGGAGCGGACGAGCGAGGTGGTTCAGGGCGCTGCTTGCGCTCGGAGTCGGCTGGTGGCCTGAAGCTCGAGGCGGAGTCGACATGGAAGTGTAAGCGGCCCGGGCGCATTCCGGCTTGGGGGACGGCTGCAGCCGCAAGCCGAGAAACTTCGGCTTGGGGCGACTCCGCGTTCGGGCGCGTGGGGGAGGCGACGGAGCTGGAGGTGGGGAAGAGGGATTCGCTCTGAGCTGTGAACCTTCGCCCCACTCCCACCCCTTGCCGCCGACGCGAGGCCGTCTCAGCTTGCCTGCTGCCTCCCTTGTTCATTTACTGGAGAGTCTAGGTCCGACGGGGGCCCGGCACCGTATCCGCGGGGGGACTTACAAGTTACAAAGCCTGGAAGTATCTGAAGTAAAGATGGTTGAATGCTGGGATAGAGACTGAGGATGCAGCAGAGGAGCAGCTAGCCTGTGAAGGAAGGGGCGGGTTTTGTGGGAAGAAGGACGTGCTTGAGCCAGGTCTGGGACGGCAGAAACGTGCGTTGTGTGCTGCACGGCGCGGAAATGCAAATGTTTACAGCTATCATGCATGTGTGTTTTACGTGATTGACATTAACTTGTAGGTATACCTATATTGTATTCTCTTCGACACTATTTAATACTGACATTTTCCTTTATGTTCTTCTGCCTCGTATTTAATGGTTATATGTACTAGTATTTTTCAGACTTTTGAAAGAACACAGTATATACATGTAACCGAAGTGACAGCGTCATGAAGCAATACTTAATGCAGTACAAGCTCATATTGCCTCTTCTTTTTTATTAAAAAAGAATATTGACCACTAAGTCGATTTTGCAATACACTAATGGGGTTTAATCTGCAACTTGGAAAACATTCATATATGTATAACTGTAGCCCATCATTATCAATTTTTCCCTCTTTCCCTCTTTACTAGAGCATTTCCTGTCAGCATACCAACCTACCTTACTTTACCCATCTTAAAAAATCCCTTGGCCCCACTTTACATGTCTACCTGTTGCTACCTCTCAGTCTCCTTTTCTGGTTCTTCACATCCTCCTTTGCTTGGCTTCTAAATGTTCAAGTATCTAAGGGCTCAGTTCTGGGACCATGTATTGCCACACTCTCTCCCTTGGTCATTTTACCCATCTGTATGCTGATGATTCCCAAAAGTATATTTGTAGCCCTTTCCTCTCATCATCCATCTAATCGTTTAGACCAAAAGTCTAGCCCTCCTTCCTTAGCCCTAACTCCAGCCTAGCAGCCAGTCCTATGATCTCCACCTTCAGAATATATTTTGAAGGCAATTACTTTTTACCACCTCCACTGCTAATTTTGTGGTCTCTCATTCCAGCCTGGATTAAACAATGGCCTTTGGCTTCCACTCTTGCCTTTAAAACAATTAAATCAACTTATCCCCTGTGTAAAACCTTTCATTGGGTTTCTGTTGTTCTTAGAGAAAATCAACATTCCTTACTACGACCTACAGGACCCTGCATAACCTCACCTACTCACCAGTCTTACATCTTGCTGCGGTCCCTATCCCCCAAACGCATGCACTTCTCACTGGCACTCATGTCATTTCTATAACCTTCCAAGTCCTTTACTATCTCAGGACCTTTGCAGTGCTGTTTCTTCTGTCTGGTATATTTCCCCTACCCACTCCTGTTCCCTTATTATCCTTTTAATATCAGGTTGAGCATCCCTTTACAATGTTGCTTTTCCTCCTCTGTCAATCCAAAGTAGTCTGTGGTAGCACCTTGGTTTACTTTTCCCTTTAATAATTACAAGTTGTAATAATGGATGTAGGACGTATGTTTACTTGTTTAGTGCCTGTTCTACTTCAGGAGTGTAAGCTCCATGGAGGCAGGGTTGAATGTTCACCTAGTGCTTAGCACTGCATCTGGCACATAGTACGCATTCAGCAAATACTTGTTGAATGAATATAACAATACTTCATTAATTAAATTAAAGATTAATATAAATTAAGTTTCTAATTGCTGAGCATATAGATTTTTTTGATATTCCTAAGTGAAACGGTTTGAAGCAAGAGTTTTTTCTCCTATAGCATCCTGTCCACTTCTCTCAAGGAGTCACTGGCTTATGGAAACCAATCAAGAATTTTGCAGCTAGCGGTTAATGGGACAATAAGATTTTCTGATACAGGCATGTGGTTTGGGCGTGTTAGGACCCCTGGAGTGGAAAGGTAAGGAGGCCTTAACTTCAAATTTCTGCCTGGCCTCCAACATGAGATATAACTTCTGGCAGTGTGGTCTTAGGATCTTGAGCAGAACCTAGAGTCTGAGAGGGCAAACGTGATACCTCTTACCAGGTATTCCTAGGACTTGGAGGGACAAGGCATGAATGGAGAACTCCCCCATGTTTTCACTATTTATTTTCTTCAGTCACTGAGTAAATACCTACTGAGTGAATAATGCATGTAAGCATACATTAGAAATTCTTTAAAAATAAGGAATATTTATGCTTTATTTGCTTGAATGATAGAATTTAAAAATAAAAACTTTTGACCATTGTTTGGAAATTTATTTTCCTCAGGTGAGAGGATACAAAATATTCATAGTAAAATTAAGTGTATATATATATATATATACTATAATCTATTAACAGACTTTCCTTAGAAGTACACACACAAAAAGCCCATGCAAACAGTGGCTATTAATTGCCACACAGTTAACTCTTATGTACTCAGTAACGAATGGAATTGTGCAAATTCTATGTTCAATTCTATGTTCAATTCTATAGTATATAGTACATATATACTATATATATACACACACACACATATACACACAGTATACACATATAAATATATATGCAGCAAAATTAAGTATTTCTGTATATATAAGGCATTTGCTATTTGTCTTTGTCTAATGTCTTGGGATTTATATATCTAAAGCTTTGTTTTTACTTTTATTCTTGAACTTAATATATGCAATTTAAAAATGGACTCTATTTTCTTCTATTTTTCTTCTGCACCATCTTTTTGAGATAGAGTCTGAATTTTGTGTATATTATAGCTGAAAACACTGAGGTTTAAAGAAGTTCTAATAGTAATAGGTCCTATAACTTCAGTAACAGGACTGGAAAGAGGATACTTGTTTGTCACCTCTGAAGAGAGTGCTATAAGTTAAATTGTTCATTGACTTTGAAGGCTGCCCAGTTTTCTTGTAGCAGAATTTAGCTTTTCAAAACATGAATTGAATCAGTTACACAGTTGAACATAGAATTTGCACAATTCCATTCGTTACTGAGTACATAAGAGTTAACTGTGTGGCAATTAATAGCCACTGTTTGCATGGGCTTTTTGTGTGTGTACTTCTAAGGAAAGTCTGTTAATAGATCATTTTGTTCTGCTTATTGAAAATTGGTTTTCCAAAGTAATTGTTTACATCCGTTAAACTGACTCAAATCAAGCGAGTTAAGTGAATTTTACAGGTTACATTTCAAATAGCAAGTGAACTTCAGTCAACTAATTCACTACTTTAAGGAAATTAAGTACTGCTTATGTGTAAGTATTCAAACATGTTTAGAATTCATTTGGAATATTTGTTTTAAACACTTGTAAATAAAATCAGTACTGTTCTAAGTCCTACAGGACAACATAAAGTTTTGTGTAGGTGGGGCAAGTTTCTAGAAGTCTGAATGCTTATGAATGTATTACATAATAGTGAATAGATAATTCCTGCTCAGTAGAGATCAACAGCTTGCAAATACATAACTGACAAATGTGTCAATTCATGGGCTATACTAACTAAAAAGCATTGGAGGAAATTGCATTTTATGTCTTCAATTGTAAGTTTTACTGATTTTTTTTAACTTTATGGAATTCTTTTAGTTCTGTATTTCTAGTTTTGCCAACGTTTTAGCCTAAATATTTCAAACCTATGGAACAATTGAAAAAAGAGCACCAGAAGTATCTTTATATCCCTTACTTGAGTCACCATTTGTTAACATTTTGATATATTTGCCTTATCTCTCATATGTGCACACATTCTCTCTGCACACACACTCATACACACATACATATGCACACACTTTACTGAGCCATTTCAGAGTTGTAGATATAATTTGCTTTCCCAATCTTAAAAAGGTACTCTCCTATGTAACTGCTATACCATTGTTGCATTCAGGGAATTTATCACTGGTATAACCACTATTATTAAAATAAGCCTATCATACAAGAATCATACATTGCACTTAGTTGTCATGGTTCTTTAATCTTTGGGAACAGCTTTTGAGCCTGTTTTTATGATATTGGCATTGTGACAAGTGACATCAATATTGGAAGGATTGAAGCCAGTTGTTTTGAAGTATGTTTACAACATGTGGATTTGTCTGATTGTATCTTCATGACTAGATTAAAATTAAACATTTTTGACAGGATTTCTGTCAGTTTTTTTCAGTGCATCACATTGTTGCAGGGCATCTGCATCTGGGGAGGTCTCTTCCTATGCAGTAGGTGAAGCCTGTACCTGGCTGGACAGGTGAGGGCTCTTGACTCTGATTGGGAAAGAATTCATTAAAGCAAGGGTAGAAGTGAATGTCAGCAGCTATGCTGGCAGTAGAGAGCAAGGAAGAACAGAGTGAGAAAAGGAAAGTTCATGGAACTCCTGCTCTGCATAGGGCAAATCCCTTGCCAACTTCTGAAGCCAGGGTCCCAGTGTCTGCTTGATCAGCACTGCATGGGAATTATATCCCTACCACCCCAGGATTTGGGGGAGCAGTGGAACACTGGATGGAGTGAATTTATGTTCTGAGAACTTCCACTTCCCTCCTGGTCTGAAGTAAAACAGGGAGAGAGAATAGGATTGTGTTAAGACTAGAAAGCTAAATGAATTAGCAAAGTGACAAAGACATTTACCACCAGAGATGGAGGTCAGTGAATTCCTGTCTTTAACATGGCAAAGAATTCAGAGATGAAGTGCAGTAAGCTTACTTATGCACCAAGAAAATGTATTTGCAAAGATTGTACACACTCAGATGAGAGTGCGGACAACCTCAGACAGGAGGTGCCCTTAAGGGTTTAGTGTTTGGAGTTTTGTAGGGCCTTTTAGGTTGGGGCATAAAGCATATGCTGTATACAGGTGATTCATAATTTCTTTGAAGTTTTGTCTTAAGAATAAGGTTATTTAGAAGACTGTGTTGATCCGGTCTCAGCATTCTTTACCCATGTAGGTTCATTTACTCTCTGGAGGTCTCTCTCTCATCCGGGTTACAAAGTTACTTAATTGAGTAAGGGGCTGGAAGATGAGAATAGCATATAGATTTAGTTAAAGAATAAACTGGGTCTTTTTTGCAGACTAAGTAGATTTTACAATAGCATTACCTTTGTCCCATTTCCCTGCTCTATCTCAACATCATCGTTATTGGTGCTGTTAAATTAGATGACTTGATTAAGTTGATGTCTGTCAAATCTCACCATTTCCCATTCTCAACAGTCTGCTACTTAGTGGTGGTTACAATTATCTTTTCAGTATAAAAACTGCCTTAAAATTTTTTTTCCTAGTATACACAGTTAAGACTTCATAAAAAGTAGATACTATACTCACTGACATTTTATTAAATAAGGGAATTCTAGCATATACTGATATGTATTCCATTAATACTTATCTGGGTAAAAAATTTTTTCTTCTTCTTAATAAAAGAATCAATGAATAAATCAGCTTCTGTCAGCCAGAGTCTGCAAGATGCAGTACTTTTCAAACATCCATTTGTTCTCCTGGCTTCAAAACACAGGTTCATTAAAATACACACACAAGTTTCCCTTCTTTGTATACTGGTTCTGGAAGAGGCAGATGATGTTCTTTGGATTTTTACATTAACAATATTGACTTGGACAGTGGAACAATAACTTGGAAAACCAAGGGCAAATTTCATCGGGTTTGGAATACTCTGCATGACAAAGGAGGGGAGGTCATTTGGAAATGAAGTTGTAACAATGGCATCTGGAATAGATCTGATAGCCTTGAGGAAGAGTAGCATTTCCTTTTTTCTCCAGTCTGTTCCAGGAAGGGATGTCATAGTTGCAGTGTATTTTAGAGCGCACAGGGCATTGTAACTCAATTTCTAGTAAAGATGTAAGGAAGCCTTGTTGTGTAGTGGGATTTATCATTTTCAATTTTAAATGAACTATATCATGTACACTAATTATGCATTGTCCTTCCTATGTTATGTTCCTGTTAAATATGGTGTTCTTTGTGACCCGAGTGCAGTTGTGGTCATTGGGGCAAAGTAGCACTTTTGTGAAATCTCAGCTATTTGTTCAGTGACTAGTAGCAATTGGTAAGCTTCATGTGCTGATTTGATTACAAGGCTGACATTACTGTGCTGGTGACCTAAGGCCCAGGTCAGGCCCATGTGTTAACTACCTGCTTGTTTTCTTTTGATTGGAGGAAGTTACCCATCTTTCTGGTCCATGTCTGTGAAATTTTGTGTCATTGTTTTCATCATATAGCCCCACTCCTGGTTTAAGAACAAACAGTGGGTCTTTGTTGCACATTGTCAAGTCCTTAGTCCTTCCTAAATTTTTAGGATTCTGCATTACCAGTTTCCATTTGTCCAGTCCAGGCTCATTTTTCACAGTTCCATAGTTATTTTCCTCTTCAGTTAGGCTTCTTACTGTATGACATAAGCAAGTGTATAAATCTCTGAGCCTCAGTTTCACCATCTTTAAAGAAGGAATATAATAGGTCCTACATCATAGGGTTTTTAATGAGAATTAAGTGTGATGATAACTTTAAAAAATAATAGCTCCTATTTAGGGAGATCTTAATAAGTACCAGGAGCTATCTACACTTAAATCTGTTGTTTCATTTAATCCTCATAACAGCTTTATGGGGTGGAAGATGTCATGGTGGTGGTAGTAGCACAAGTAGTAGTAAAAACAGGTGGCATTTAGTGAGCACTTACGGTGTTCCAGGTACTTAGCATGTTTCAGTTTAATACTGTAAAAAGTCTTGTGATGTTGGTACAGTAATTGCCATTTTATACATGAGGACATTTAAGCACAGAGAGGTTAAATAACTTGCCCAAATTCACATAGCTTAGTCTACAGTGGAGCTGGGTTTTGAATCCAAGCTACACTGCTTTATACTAGTTTATCTACATTTTTTGTTTTAGATGGGAGTTATTTAGGGGGAGTTAATTCACTAAAACACATACCTTGTGAGTGGCAAAGTGGGAATAAGAACCTAGATTTGTCTGATTTCAAAACTGTGTTCTTATTTATCATATTATACTGCCTCCAGACTATTAAAAACAGTAAAAGCTTTCTGACATGATATTGTAGAATGGAACAGTTACAATTTTGAAAAGTTACCTTGCTGTGTTTGATTCACAAGAAAAATGGCATTTGGCCTTGATTGACCAGTACACAGGAGCACCAGGCTTTTGACCACTGCTTGGCACATGAATTCTGCCTGTTGAGTTGATACAAAAGATGTACACCTTTGGAGTTTTGTACATATCTGGCAGGATTCCTGACATCGTTGGAATTCCCAGTAGTGATATTAGTGTAAACGATCCCATTTCTGGTGATTCAGCAGGAGGACTTGGCTGCCCATGATGTCAATAGCTGGTGGGAGGCAGATGGTACTGGGCAGAGGATATGGCTGTGGGATGAGACAGCACTTTGTTTCTCCAGTTAATTCCACCTCTCACTCTCTTTAATGACATCTCTCCCTACCCCCATGGTTTTGACCTCGCATCCCTTCCTGTAACTTCTTCCAGATGCCTGACTACTCTTACTTTTGCCTACAAAGGCTAGGGGTAAATACAGTATTTTAATCACCAGTCTGGTGATGGATGTATGATATACTATGGCTGTAAAAAAGGAAAGTTTGCTCTCAAATTGTTCATTGCCACCTATGCCAGTGGGATTTAGGACATTTCCCTATTCTAGGTTGTAGTCCCTAAATTCCTGGATCTTGACAGAGGAATTCTTTTATAGATATTTCATTCCCACAAAGGGATATAAGCTCAGACTGATGATAATTTACTTTATTTTGCAGGAAGGATGCCAATTCTGCACTGCTCAGTAACTATGAGGTAAATTGCTTTTAAATGGACTATTGTATTTTGCTCTCTTGATAGTTTGCCCTTTGCTTCTGAAGATTATTGAATTAGTTTTGGTTAGAAATGACTATATTCATTTGGATTTTCCACTTTAAAGTAAAACAGATGGCACCATCTTGTGGACCTTGGAATATTCTAAGTTTGATGAATTATACACAGTAATTCAGAGAAGCTGGGAAGACTTTAGTTTACAGTAGGTAACCTTCACCAAGTCCCAAAGATGTTAGGTGTTCATTTGGGATGCCTTCGTGGGATGGAAGCTTCTCTTTTGAAACTTTGTCTGCAAAAGTTTTCCATTAAAATACTTATGCTTTCCTAAGTACCACTCTTTACCTATAAAATGTTTTTATACTTTATCATTTTGATCTTTATAATAGTCTCAGAAGTGTTAACATCTTCATTTTGAAAGTGAGAGCCTAGTTGACTCACCATTATGAATAATTTCATAAGAACTAACAGATTTGGAATTTGGGGACTTGAAGGTTGCGTTGCTGGAACAGGAGTAAAGAGGAGGTCAGTGAGAGAGGAGATAAAACATTAATTTTTGCCTACCTTCTGTTTTGCCTTGGTCTTGTTTGGTACTAGCAAACCCATATGATAAATTAACTCCAGGTGTAGAAAGGACCATTTATACATTCACTCTCTGTTTTTCATATGCCAGAGTCTGAACTCATGAAGACTTCCAGTAGATTTGAGTCTCCATTGTGTGATATGTGTAAAAGGCAGTAGGATACAGTTAGCCATATTCTTTTCTTCTTAAAGGTTCACCTTTAGTGGTTGCTTCTCCTAACAGGAAGGAAATGATTGTTGGTCAAGTCATTGCTTTTAGGAACCTCCTTGTTTAGTTTGGACTCTGGTAGGTGTTTGAGTGTTTTTATCCATTGGGGAAATACTGCATTAATTGGATCTCATACCACTATTTCTGAAAGTAATGACTGGCAGGGGAAGGGGTCACATTGTGTCTAGTCATGGTCTTTGAGCCTGTACTTCCCTCTGGCATTATGTCTAAACCAGGAAAGCGATATCCTCCCGACCCCCACCTTAGCACTGATACATGTTTCTCCCTTGTGGGAACCACTTACAAAGTTCAATAGCATTTTTCCTTTCTTCTTTTTGTAAGCCATATTTTGTCACTTGCCTCATAATTTTTCTTTTCCAGAAATGAATTTTTTTACTTGATTTTCGTATTAGAGGATGATCCTTTTAAAAAAATTTTTAGGAAAAATAATTTTTGAGATGTAATTGACATAGAACATTGTATTAGTTTCACTGTACAACATAATGGTTCAGTATTTGTATATTTTGTGAAATGATCACCACAATAAGTCTAATTAACATCCATCACCATATAGATACACAATTAATTTTCTCATGATGAGAACTTGCAAGATATACTCTCTTAGCAACTTTTATATATGCACTGCAGTATTGTTAACTATAGTTGCCATGTTGTACATTATATTCTCATGATCTGTTCAGTTTATAACTGTAAGTCTGTACCTTTTGATTCCCTTTACCCATTTTACCCATCCCTCATCCCCTGCGCCGGCAGCCACCAGTTTATTTCTTGTGTCTATGAGCTTGGTTTTTGTTTTTTGCTTGTGTGTGTGTGTTTTTAAGATTCCACATATAAGTGGGATCATACAATATTGTCTATCTCTGTCTGACTTTTTCACTTGGCAAGAAGCCCTCAAGATCCATCCATGTTGTTCACCTAGCAAGATTTCATTCTTTTTTATGGCTGAATGATATTTTGTGTGTATGAGTGTGTGTGTATGTGTGTATACATAGACATTTTTCTTTATCCATTTATCTATCAATTGACACTTAAATTGTTTCCATATCTTGGCTATAATAAATACACCTGCAATGAATATGGCACATATATCTTTTTGAATTGGTGTTTTTGTTTTGTTTAGAAAAATATCCAGAAGTGGAATTACTGATGCATATGATAGTTCTACTTTTAGTGTTTTGAGGAACCTCCATACACTTCTCTATAATGGCTGCAGCAGTCTACATTTCCAACTACACTGCACAAGGCTTCCCTTTTCTCCACCTCCTAACCAACACTCGTTATTTCTTAACTTTTTGATAATTTATATTCTAACAGGTGTTAAGTGGTGGTTTTGATTTTGTGATTTTGATTGGCATTTCCCTGATGATTAGTGATGTTGAGCATCTTTTCATGTATCTGTTGGCCATCTCAGTGTCTTTGGAAAAATGTCTATTAAGATCCTCTGACATTTTAAAATCAGATCGTTTATTTTCTTGGTGTTGAATTGTATGAGTTGTTTATATATTTTGGATATTAGCCCCTTATTTGATACATGATTTGCAAATACATTATTCCATTCAGTAGGTTGCCTTTCCATTTTGTTGATGGTAAAAGCTGTGCCGCAGCTTATTGGTTTGATAGTTTGATAGTTAGCTTTTTAGCTTAGCAGTCCCACTTGTTTGTTTTTGTTTTTGTTTTTGTTGCCTTTGCTTTTGTGTCAAATTCAGAAAAATCATTGCCAAGCCTGATGTCAAGGAGCTTACTGCCTGTTCTAGGAGTTTTATGGTTTCAGGTCTTACATTCAAGTCCTTAGTCTATTTAAAATTAATTCTTGTGTATGATGTAAGATAGCAGTCCAGTTTCATTCTTTTGCATGTGGCTGTCCAGTTTTTCCCAGCACTGTTTATTGAAGAAACTGTCCTGTTCCCATTCTATATTCTTGGCTTCCTCATTGAAAATTAACTGGCCATATATTCAGGGTTTACTTCTGGGCAGACATTCTGTTCTGTTTCACTGATATGTGTCTGTTTTTATGCCAATAACATACTGTTTTGATTACTATAGCTTTATAATACAGTTTGAAATCAAGGAGCATGATGCCTCTAGCTTTGTTCTTCTCTCTCAAGATTGCTTTGGCTATTCAGGGTCCTTTGTGTTTCTATACAAATGAGGATTATTTTTTCTAGTTCTGTGAAAAATGCTGTTGGAATTTTGATAGAGATTTGCTTTGAATCTGTAGATTGCTTTGTGTAGTGTGGGCATTTTAACAATATTAATTCCCTCAGTCCATGATCACAGAATGTCTTTCTACTTACTTGTGTTCTCTTCAGTTTCTTTCGTCAGTGTCTTACAGTTTTCAGTGTTCAGGTTTTTCACCTCCTTGTTAAAGTTATTCCTAGTTATTTAATTCTTTTTGATGCAGTTTTTCTTTTAATTTTTATTTTTTGTTAAGGTGTCACTGATTATACTCTTATGAAGGTTTCACATGAAAAACATTATGGTTACTACATTCACCTGTATTATCAAGATTCCCCCCTCATGCCCCATTGAAGTCACTGTCCATCAGTGTAGTAATATGTCACAGAGTCACTACTTGTCTTCTCTGTGCCACACTGTCTTCCCTGTGAACCCCACACACCATGTGTACCAATCATAATACCCTTCAGTCCCCATCTCCCTCCCTCCCTACCCAGCCTCCTGCACCTCTCTCCCTCCCCTCTCCTTTGATAACCACTAGTCCCTTCTTGGAGTCTATGAGTCTGCTGCTGTTCTTTTCCTTCAGTTTTGCTTTGTTATTATACTCCATAAATGAGGGAAATCATTTGGTGCATGTCTTTCTCCACCTGGCTTATTTCTCTGAGCATAATACCCTCTAGCTCCATCCAGGTTGTTGCAAATGGTAGGATTTGTTTTCTTTTTATGGCTGAATAGTATTCCACTGTGTATATGTACCATGCCTTCTTTATCCATTCATCTACTGATGGATACTTAGGTTGCTTCCATATCTTGGCTATTGTAAATAGTGCTGCTATAAACATAGAGGTGCTTATATCTCTTTGAATCTGAGATCTTGTTTCCTTTGGGTAAATTCCTAGTAGTGGAATGGCTGGGTCAAATTGTATTTTTATTTTTAGTTTTTTGAGGAACCTCCATATAGCTTTCCACAATGGTTGAACTAGTTTACATTCCCACCAGCAGTGTAGGAGGGTTCCCCTTTCTCCGCATCCTCACCAGCATTTGTTGTTCCTTATGTTTTCGATATTGGCCATCCTAACTGGTGTGAGGTGATATCTCACTGTGGTTTTAATTTGCATTTCCCTGATAATTAGCAATGAGGATTGATGCAGTTTTTAAAATTGTTAATGGTATTGTTTTCTTAATTTCTCTGTCTGCTATTTCATTATTAGCATATAGAAATGCTATACATTTCTGTGTATTGATTTTGTATCCTACAACTTTACTGAATTCATTTATTCTAATAGTTTTTCATTAGAGTGAGTCTTCAGGGTTTTCAATATATAATATGTCATCTATAAATAGTGACAGTTTTACTTCTTCCTTTCCACTTCAGATGCTTTTTAATTCTTGCCTAATTTTCTGGCTAGGACTTCTAATACTATGTTGAGGAATAGGGCTGAGAGTGGGCATCCATGTCTTGTTCCTGATCTTAAAGGAAACCTTTCAACTTTTTACCATTGAGTTAGGTGTGGGTTTGTTATATATGGCTTTTATTATGTTGAGGTACAGTCCCTCTATACCCACTTTATTAAGCATTTTTATCAAAAATGGATGTTGAGTTTTGTCAGATGCTTTTTCTGTATCTATTTAGGTGATCATTTTTTAGGAAAATCTACTTTCAAGTAAATATTATTTTTGAAATCAGAGATAGTGACACAGTATATATATATTGATAGGAAACATTTGAAATGTTAAGTAATGAATTTGGATTTGACTTAGATAAAAGAGCATTTTTAAAGTGTCAGATGCTTCTGAGACTCATATTTGCTCTAATGCAAGCATTAGGGGGAGAGTTTGTGAGAAGAAAAGTGGTACTCTCCTGTTTATTCTTCAAAGTCATTGACCTCAGAATAGATACATTTATTAAATTTATTTATAAAAATATTTTGCATATCTCTTCCTAGGTGTTCCAGTTACTAAGTGATCTGAAAGAGCAGCGTAAAGAAAGTGGAAAGAATAAACACAGTTCTGGGCAACAGAACTTGAATACTATCACCTATGAAGTAAGCCTAGGCTTCTGGAGGGTCTGACTACCATCACAAGGGGTTGGTTTATTTGCTGATGACTGGCCACCAAATCATGACCACCTCCTATCTGACTTTAAGTAATTTTACTGCAATTCAGTTGTAAAAGTAGGAAGAGTTTGGCCAGTTGTGAAGGTTGACTAAGTATAAAGTTAGAGGGAGTAGTCAAAAGACTGCTCTCACTTATAACACAAGTTGCAAGTCAGGGATCCCCAAGACCACCTTCAGGTTCAATAATTCAGTAGAAGTGCTCATAGAACTCAGTGGAAGCCATTATATTCACAGTTACGATTTATTCCAGGGAAAGGATACAGATTAAAGTCGGCCAACAGAAGAAACAAATGGGGCAGATTCCAGGAGAAATACCAAACATAGAGCTTCTGTTGTCCTCTAATATAGAGTAAGAACACGTTTCACACTGAAATCAGTGTGTGATAATACACACTGAATATTGCCAACCAGGGAAGCTCAGGTGAGATTTGGTGCCTGGAATTTCTTTTGGGGCTCCATTACATAGGTATGATTGAATGATTGCCTATGTAAATTCATTTCAACCTCCAGGTGGACTGGATACTTTATGACTCAAAGCCCTAACCCTAAGTCACATTGTTAAGACTATTCAGCATGACCTAAGGTACCCAGACAAAGATATTCCTACTAGGTATTACATTCAGAGTCTGGTGATTACCTTTTAGAAGCTGAGGGCAAAGGCCAGGCCTTCACTTTGGGCAAAGTCAAATTCTTTATTACACAAAAAATGGTACTTTTTATTGTAGAAAACTTAGGATGTACCAAAAAGCATAAAGAAGGAATCAAAAGTAATTCATAATCTTAATATCTAGTTGATATTTCCCATGTTCTCTCCCAACCTTATGCTTCATCCTTAAAAAAGAAAGTTTAAGCCATTATATGTGTTAAATGTGATCTTTAATTTTATATCTGTCATTTTATGTTTTCTTACTATTTCCTTTCAAATCTGATTTTGTCTCTATGGAGGACTTGGTTTTAATTATCTTTATCTTTTCGAAGACATTATTAAACTTGAATTAAGTTATCATAATCACTTTTCAGGAAAATAAGAGACTTAGCATTTTTGTCACCATTCCTCCCCATCCAATTTTGTTCATTTAATCATGTGTTTAAAACTCTGTCATTCACTTTTTCATTCACGTTCTTTTACATTATGTAGTTCATCTCATTCAAAGAAGAAAAATTTTTGTGGTAATTAGTTTTATAACCAAATTTCAAGTACTCTTAACTGCACAATCAAGTACTCTCAACTACACAGTCAGTTTAAGCTCATTGCTGCTCTATTACTCCTTTAGTTCCTGCTTTTAATTCATGGTGACTTGAGGAAAATTATTGTGTTACTAAATGTTTTGAGATGTTTTATACCTGAGAATATATTTCTAGTGTCCTTAATGTGAATGACAACTTATCTGAATATGGAGTTCTTGTGTTCTACTTTTATTCTGCAGGGCTCTGTAGGTACTATTTTGGTTTAGTATTTGTTATTATGGAGGAGTCTGAGCCCAACCTGATTTTTGCACTTTTGAGAGATTCTTTACTGTGATCACTTGGTTAAGGTAGTAATTGCCTGGTTTTTCTACTGTAAAGTTACTGTTTTTCCATTTCCATCTTCTGTTACTTAGAAAGGAATATATTGCAATATAATGAGTTATAAGAAATACATATTTGGTCACTCATATAACCAAATATATGTTTCCCATGTATATTTGGTCTTCTTGCACAGTTCCTGAAAACACTGCAGTCTTAAAGGTAAAACGGGTGTCTTGTCCTGTTAATGAGAGAGACTTTTGGACCCCACCCAAGGACAGGGGCTAGAGGTTAAATCAGCCAATGGCCAATAATTTAATCAATCATGACTATGCAGTGAAGCCCTCACAAACTCCTGAAAAGAGCTTGGCACCCTCTGGAATCCTGCTTCTCTGTTGGAGAGAGCTTCCACGCTTAGGGAATCAGAACACTCCCATGTGCTACTGAACCAAGCCCCTAGCTCCATGAGGATAGAAGCTCCTTTATTTGGGACTTTGCCCTATGCATCTCTTCATCTGGCTGTTAACTTGTATGCTTTGTGGTGTCCTTTATTAAACTGGTAAACATAGTGTTTTCCTGAGTTCTGTGAGCCGCTCTAGCAAATTAATTGAACCCAAGGGGAAACGAACGTCCAATCTGTAGCAGGTAGGTCAGAAGCACAGGTAACTGCTTGGGGCTTGTGACCAGCATCTGGAATGGGGGTGGAGGGCAGTCTTGTAGGATGGAGTGCTTGACCTGGGAATCTGGTGCTGTCCTTGGGCAGATAGCGTCAAATTGAGTTCTCAACCACCGTGCTGGTGTTCCAGAATTGCTTGGTGTTATGTGTGGGAAGACCCCTTCCTCCTCCCCAACAGACAAACATTGGATTAGGGTCCGGAAACCCAAAAGGAGTTGCAGTGCTATTTCTGCTGGTATAATACTGTTATTGTTGTTTATGAAAAAACATGCCACAGATACCAAATAATTTGGGGACATATGTTACAATCATCACAGTAAGTAAATATTTTGGGGAAGATGCTTTGAGACTATGCAAATATCCTACTTCTTAAGCTTTTGTTCATTAATTTTAGTATTCATTAATTTTAGTATTCACTGGTGGGTCTTTTGTGCAGTAATTATTACTGTGGTTCATTTGCCTAATGGTGATTTTTTTCCCCTCATTCAGTCTACATTTAGGAGTAAGAGTTCTTTGGGAGGAAGAGTTGTTTCTTCTCATCCATTTATTTATTTAAGAAATCATTTATATCGTTGCTCCAGGAGGGGCAAGTTCCCTATAAATTTGGTGAGACTGAATAAAGACAAGGGCAAGAAGTTGGGCAGTTTAAAAGGGGTTCATACCACATTTATTCTCACAGCAGTAGGTCTTCCGTGCTCCTCCCTTCTGCTTCCCAGCACAGACTTAATCCTCTTCTAGTACGAGGGCTGCACTGGTTTCCTCTGCCAGCCCCTGTTCTCTCCTGGCTTCCACTCCAGCTGTCCTTCTCCACTCTCCAAACTCTCTGCTCCTGTGCTGGCATTGCTCTCTCCCCACTCTTCTAGCCCTCTTCTTCCCTGCCCCTAGCACCGAGAGGATCCCTGTGGTCGGGTCTCTCTGGTGACTGGCAGACACCGGACCAGTTATGTAGCAGGAACCGAGGAGAGGCCCAAATGGATATTTCCACTCTGCCCCTCCCTTGGGCCCTTACCTCTGTGAACAACTAGCAGCTCTGTCCCTGGTAAACATCCAGCCACTCTCATAAATATGCAGAGCAGGCTCTTTTATATGTACAATGGGCACGATTAAGGCCAGGTGGGAATCCTGGTCAGGAATTTCTATTTTCTCAGCATATTTCTGTATGGACTCATGGCTATTTATTTTATTCTTTGGGTTCCCTGTCTTTAAAATGTTTTCTGGAATATATGCAATTATGATAATAAAGCACAATTAACAGATTGGGTTTTTTTCTTTTTTTAAGATCAGAAGAACTTTCTTCTAAAATTTATTCTTCTTGTTCTAGCTACTGTGTTTTTTTTTGAGGAATTTCTGTTTATGAAGATTGACTCTCCTGAAGCATATATTTTATAAAAGATTTTTGAAACAAAATTTTAGCCATTGCCTTTCCTTTTTCTCAGGGATCTTTTCTTATGCTTGCTTTTTCTTTCTTTTTTTTATAGACATTAAAATACATATCAAAAACATCATGCAAGTACCAGAGTCCTGAGATTGTCAGAGAATTTCTCACAGCAGTGAAAAGCCACAAACTGACCAAGTAAGTGAAAATTACCCTGGGTAGGAAAAGAGTAACACATAATGAAAATGATAGCTTAGCAACTGTTTTATTTAGTTAGGTTTTGATTTATAATTAATACACAGTGCTCTTTCAAAGTTGGATCATTGTATTATGGCGGAGACAACTGAGACTTAGATATAGGGATTCTTCTAGAGCCAGGAACAGAAGAACTTAGTGGGTTTTTTTTTTTTTTTTTGAGTACCAGTTCTATGACCTGTCCCATAACCCCTTCCCAGCATTCAGACCAAACTTATTGAAAATGGTGTTCACAGATGAATGTGCTTCTTATAAAATTGATCAGTTAAGTCATTTGATATTTGTGGGGGTTTTTTTGGGGGGAGGGATGGGAAACGGCTTGATAATACCCTGTCTGCTCTTCTAGTGCCTGATTACTTTTCTTGGTGACTTTCTTAGATTGAATAAGTTAAGCTTATAGGAATTTAAAACATCATTAATAATTAAGAGTTTATATGAGAAGAAAACTACCCCTAGTCTTTTAGAATTAATACTAGAGCTGATAAATCTCAAAGGTTTTTGTCATTCATTCAGGATAATAAGTAGTTTTCTTTTGAAGGAAATGCTGTTATTTCAGGGACACAGTTGATAATACCAGTGAACTAAAGTTCACTTTTCCCCTTGCCTCTCTTTTCCAAATAAACTCTGAAGACAAAAGTCTTGTGTATGTAGAGTTTGTTTTATTTTTAATTGTGGTAAAATATACAATGTAGAATTTACCTTTTTAACCACTTTTAAATGTACAGTTCATTGATGTTAAATATATTCACATTGTTGTGCAACCAATATCCAGAACTTTTTAATTTTGGAAAACTGAAACTGTGCCAATTAAACAACTTGCCATTTCCCACTCACCCTGGCCGCTGATAACCACTATCCCATTATCTGTTTCTATGAATTTGACCACTTTAGAGACCTTGTGTAATTGAAATCACATAGTGTTTGTGTTTAAAAAAAAAAAAAAATCCAAATACTGTTTAATACTATTTTTTTGTTTTACCATTTTAACCATATTTAAGTGTGCAACTCAGTGGTATTAGGTACATCACATTATTATACAACCATCACTTCCATCCATCCACAGAACATTCCTCAATTTGCAAAACTGACACTGTTCCCATTAAATAATGACTCCTCATACTCCCCACCATCTAACCCTGGTAGCCACCAATATACTTTCTGCCTCATGAATTTGACAACTGCAAGTACCTCATCCAAGGGAATCATACAGTATTTGCCCTCTTATGACTGGCTAATTTTATGTAACATAATATCTTCCAAGCTTCATCCATGTTGAAGCATGCGTCTTTTCCTTCATTTTGAAGGTGCATAGTATTTCATTTTATGTATATACAGCATTTTGTTTATACATTTATCTGTCAGTGTATACTTAGGTGGCTTACATTTCTTCCCCCTGTTGGCTATACAGATTCCTCTTTGAGACCCAGCATTCAGTTCTTTTGAGTATATACCCAGATATCAAATTGCTGGTCATGTGGTAATTCTATTTTTAACTTTTTTAGGAACTGCCGCCATGCTGTTTTCCATAGGGGCTGCACCGTTTTACATTCCCACAAGGGTTCCAATTTCTCCACATCCTCATTAACACTTGTTATTTTCTGTTTTTGCTGTTGCTGTTTTATAATAGCCACCTTAGTAGGTGTGAGGTGTTATCTCATTGTGGTTTTCTTTTGCATTTCCCATGATTGGTAATGTCAATCATCTTTTCATGTATTTACTGGCTGTTTTATATATAATCTCCTTTGGAGAAATGTCTTAAGTCCTCTGCCCATTTTTTAATTGGATTGATTCTTTTTATCTTGTTGAAATTTAGAAGTCTTCTATATATTCTGGAACTCAATCCCTAATCAGATATATACTTTGCAAATGTTTTCTCCAATCCTGTGGTTGCCTTTGTAGTCTGTTGATAGTGTTCTTTGATGCACAAGTGCAATTTGTCTCTTTATCTTTTGTTGCCTTTGCCTTTGGTATCATATCCAAGAAATCACTGTCAAATCCAATGTCATGAAGTTTTTCCTGTGTTTTCTTCTAAGAGTTTTTATACTTTCATCTTTTATGTTTTGGTGTTGGATCCATTTTGAATTAAGTTCTGTGTGTGGTACAAGGTAAGGACCCACTTACATTATTTTGCATACGTATGTCCAGTTTTCCCAGCACCATTTGTTGAAAAAATTGTCCTTGTATATCTAATGGCCTTGACACGCTTGTTGAAAGTCATTTGGTCACATATGCAAAGGTTTATTTCTGGACTCTCTATTCCATTGGTCTATATGTCTATCTTTATGCCAGTACTACACTGTTTTGATTACTGCACCTTTGTTTTAAGTTCTGATAATTAGAAAGTAAGAGACCTCTGACTTTGTTCTTTTTCAAGATTGTTTTGGCTATTTAGGGTCCCTTGGGATTTCCATATACATTTTTCTATTTCTGAAAAAAATACCATTGAGAATTTGATAGGAATTGCTTTAAATAGTATTGACATCTTAACAATGTTAGGTTTTCCAGTCCATGAAAATGGGATGTTTTTCTATTTATTGTCTTTAATTTCTTTCAGCACCATGTTATAGTTTCCATCAGACAAGTCTTTTGCCTCTTTGTTCATTCCTAAATATTTTATTCTTTTCAATGCTATTGTAAATGGAATTGTTTTCGTAATTTCTTTTTCAGATTGTTCATTGTTAGTGTATGGAGACACCCTGGCTTTTGCTTATATCCTATAACTTTCATGAAATTGTCTACTCTGTTTTTGTGGAACTTTTAGGCTTTTCTACATGTAAAATCATGTTTTCTGTGAACATAGATTTCACTTATTCCTTTCCAGTTTGGATGCATTTTTCTTGTCTGATTGCTGTGGCTAGGACTTCCAGTACTATGTTGACTAGAAGTGGTGAAAGTAGTCATATCCCTGTCTTGTTCTGATGTTAGAGGAAAAGCTTTCAACCTTTTACCATTGAGTATGACATTACCTGTGAATTCGTGTATGGTCCTTATACACTGAGGTAGTTCCCTTCTACTCCTAATTTTGTCATGAAAGGGTGTTGAATTGTGCCACATGCTTTTTCTGTATCAATTGAGGTGATTATGTGGGTTTTTTCCCCTTCATTTTGTTAAGGTGATGTATTGCATTGCTTTTTGTATGCTGAACTGTCCTTGCATTCCATGAATAAATGTCACTTGGCCATCAGGTATAATCCTTTAATATGTTAGTATTTTGTTGAAGATTTTGCAGTAATACTCAGAGGATATTGGATTGTAGTTTTCTTGTAGTGTTTTTGTCTGGTTTTGCTGTCAGGGCAATCTTGGCCTCATAGAATGAGTTAGGAAGTGTCCCCTCCTCTTCAGTATTTTGGAAGAGTTTGAGAAGGGTTGATGTTAATTATTCTTTAAATGTTTTCTAGAATTCACCTGTGTAACTGTTTGGTCCTGGACTTTTCTTATTGTGAGGTTTTAGATTACTGATTCAGTCTCCTTATTAGTTACAAGTCTGCTCAGATTTTCTATTTCTTCATTATTCAGTCTTGAAAGTTGTGTGTTCCTAGGACCATATGCATGTATTCTTGAGGGAGGGTTATGTACTTGTTACCCAAAGTCATTCTTGTTCTTTGATATGTTAAAAGCTTTTAGGAGGATTCACTTGTAATGTTACATTCACATTACAAGAAAGGAAGATTCACATATCTTCCTTATTGGATGCCAGTACAAATTACATCAATTGAAGCAGGGAAATTTTATGTCTCTTCCTTACAATGAGAGTAACTTCCATTTATTGAGTCCATTTAGTGTTCCATGCATTTAACATTCTCATTTAATTTGAATTCTTACAGCAACCTAATGGAAAGCTGCTACTGCGGAGACTCTACTGCAGTTGGGGATATCTCAATTCATCCCCTTTGTTTAACTTTGTCCTTTTTAGCTCTTTTGACTCCTAATGATAAAGCACTGTTACTCTGCCTGTTATGATGAAATCATTTCATTCCAACTAAAGCAAGTAAGTCAATCTGTTATCTCTTTGGGTTACCATTTTTTCTCCAAATGCTTTTAGTGGGGTAGGCTAGTACAGCAAGGTGACTTTGTGTGAGCACCTAAAGGTGAAGTCGATTCAAGTCATTCATTTAGTCTGGTAAAACAGACTTGAAGCAGGTTGTGTTTACAATGTAAAGAACAGTAGCTGAATACTCACTGGTGGTATGGCTTTGTTGCCTCCCTTGGTACAACCTCATGGCTGATATTTTTGTTAGTTGAGGTAATTGAGGCCTTGTAGCTGAAATCATTTTAAGAGGTACACATAATCAAATGGTTCAGAAATTAGAGGTTAGGTCTGTGAAAATTACTGAGGGGAAGCCTCACCAGCATGGTGTCAGGAGGCCAGCAGGAGGTGCTCTCAAGCCAACCACTCCTCTCAATTGCAGACCCCACTTATGGGTACCTTGTAATTCATTCCGCTATAGCTACTTTACTTCCCAGCAGAGGGAAGGAAGGTCTCTTATCTTCCCAGCAACACCCAAGCCAGTGAGAGACTGTCACAACTCAGCCAATGAGAATCTACAGCAAGTGGGACTGTCAGTTTACTCCAGTGGACTTTTTGCTTAGAACGGCCCTTCTACGCCCTCTTTGTCCATAAAAGAGAAGTCCTCTCCTTTGTTCTCAGGACTTGCCTGTGGTTTTGCCATAGTTTGCTTGTCCCAAATTGCAATTCTCTGCTGTTCTAGATAAACCTACTTTTTGCTGGTAAAATAACTGACAGTTTATTTTTAAGGTTAACATCTCTGAGAATAGACTAACTTCCAAAGGAAATATTTCTGTAGAATCTGAGGGAAAGGGATGGTGAGAAGAGAATATAGTATTTAAGTGTAGCAGAACTAAGGTTTTGACTGTTTCATATACACTGCCTCGCTTAATCCTGATGACCAACTCAGTGTTTCACAGATGAGTGAATTCAGGCT